ACAGCGCCTGTCCGCGTCGCACCCGAGGTCGCGGCGGCAGTCGCGCCCAACACCTCCGACAGCGCCCGGCAGCGCTGTCCTTAGTCTACATGCGCGTGGTCCCGGGCCAGTAGCTCGTGCCCGCGCATGTTCAGCCTCAGCAGGCGTGGCCATGGCACCCAGCGTGCCCAGCCATGCGCACGGCGCCCGGCAGCGCCCGTGCAAGCCCCAGTGCACGAGGTCTCGTGCCAGAGCCTCGTGCCAAGTCCAGGGCTGACCCGAGTCGGGCCAGCTGAGCCCAGTTGGCCTCGGTGCATGCCCCAGCAGCATGCCCGAGTGCCCAGTGACCTCGGGGACACCCGGCAGCGCCCGTGTGGTCTCTGTCCGTGCCTTCCCCGTGCCAGCAGTGTCTGGCCAGTGCCTGTCCGTGCCCAGCCGCACGACAGCGCCTCAGTCGAGCCTCGGCCGTGCCCAGCACGCACCCGAGGGGCACCAGTCGTGCCCGGGCCGTGCCAACAGCCCCTGGCCGTGCCCACCAGCGCCAGTCCGCGCCTAGCCAAGTCCAGCGGCACCAGGGACCGAGCCCGGTCGCACCAGCCGTGCCCAGCGCCGTGCCCGGGCACCAGCTGGCCCGGCACGGGACCGAGCCCGGTCTAGCCGAACCCAGCCCGACCGCCCGGCCCAGTCGAGCCGGCGGTCCGGCCAGCCAGCGAACCGGCCGGTTCGACCGGCGGTTCGAGTCAGTTTTTATTCATGATTTCTGATCCGAGTCCAGTACCGGAAATTTCAGTATTTTTCCGAGCCAGTCCAGTCCAGTTTAATCGTGTAGATAAGTCCAAGCATTTTAGCATATAATTAATTATTCTGAGCATTATACTTAGCATTATTTTGCTTCAATATTTATGTAGCCTAAGGAGAGTCGAGCCTCCGACCGCTACTCCAGCTTCCGCACTTGCATATCAGATTCCAAGTTTTCAGGTGGGGGCCATGTTCTGGATGTCACATCATAGATAATATCTATACCATGGCAGAGGTATGTTTGAGACAGTTTATTTCCGGGTTGGGTGGCCGAGGCCTTTATACCCACCTGATGACCGTTGAGAGGGGCGAGGCCATTTCTACCCCATCGGCGTGTGCACACGAGCGGCTACGGCCGAGGGTCTTTTGACCACAGATCAGAACAGACATCAGAGATCAGTTTACAGTTTCAGCTCTTATATATTTATGTTTCATGATACGTTATTATAGATGATGTTTTGTTTAGTACTGGTCTTTGCGAAGCATAGTGGTTTGCTCACGCCCCCATTATGTTTTTCAGGAGGCGGAGTCGAGCGTGCCGGATGAGCACAGATGTGGCGCAGTGGGGTCATGAGAGTCAGACATATTTTACCAGCATTTTTATGTCCTAGATTTATGATCATGTGTATTTTATTCAGTTTATGTACGCATGTTATGTATTCGTATTTCGGATGCTTCCGCCAGCGAGTTTTCTAGATAGTGCGAGACAGTACAGACTACGCATGTATAATTCCATAATCCGCGAGCGGATAGTTTGGTTGCATGTTTTTTTATTATGTCTGCGGGCAAGCCCGAGTTCAGTTTAAGTTTTTATCTGCCACATCTCGCAGTAAGTCAGAATTTTCGAAAACCCAGCTCGCACATTCTTTCAAAAATTAAAAATAAAAATTTTACTCTGATTTTTCAAAGCTAGTAGTGAGGCGGGGTGTGACAGAAGGTGGTATCAGAGCGCAGATTTGCGTTTTTGCATACTTTCAAAGTTTAGAAAAGCATGACCACGCCACGCTCATCCGCGCCGACTCCGAGGTAAGTCACCTGACTCAGTTTAAGTTTTGCAAGTGCTAAATTCAGTTCAAGTATGGGGCCTAGATAACTATCCTCCTATAAGAAAAGAAAGAACTCTAGATGGAGAACTCTAGAAAGATAAACTAAGATGAGAACTCTAGACAGAACTCTAGAACAGCTAAGTCCAAGGACTCTAGACTAAGTCAGAACTCTAGTATGAGCCAGAACATAGCAGTTTAAGTATACCGGAACTCTAGCCAAGCTAGGTGTTTTCGGATATTATTTCTTTATTATTTCAAGAGTAGTATGGCTATTTCTTAATCGGCTATATTAATCAATTCAAGCGTTTCCAGAATTTCAGAATGGCACCGCGTAGAGACCCCCAGGCACCAGTTGAGCAGGACTAGGCTGTTGTGGTCAGCCGATTCCGTACCTATGATCCGCCCCGTTTCACTGGGGAGAGTGGCCCGTTAGCCGTGGCCGAGTGGGTCCGGAAGATGGAGAGGATCTTCCGTATTATGAGGATTTCTGAGGTTCACAAGATGGCGTGTGCCGAACTGCAGATAGAGGGAGCCGCCGGAGACTGGTGGGAAGATTACTGGCGTTTATGCACGGAGGATGAGCGTGACGCTATGAGATGGGCTCAGTTTAAGACGATACTGGAGGACAAGTTCTATCCTCGCCATTTCAAGCAGAGGATGGCACGAGAGTTTGCCGCTCTCCAGCAGGGTGAGCGTTCGGTGGACGAGTACGAGCGCGAGTTCGCTCGTAAGAGTGCCTTTGCTTCGCCTCTTGTTGATACGGAGGAGAAGACGGCAGCACAGTTCCTCGATGGTTTGAGGAGCAACATCAGACTCTTGATCACCAGCAATGGCTTCCTTGACTACGCCGAGACTGTTGAGCGTGCATTCTGAGAGACACCCATGCCCAGCCACCAGCCAGACAGCCAACCGCTATTCTGCCACCCCAGCCAGCTCAGTAGACAAACAAGAGAAAGTGGGACAGTCGCAAGGACAAGAGGAACCGCAGACAGAGAGGCCCAGCTCAGGGAGGCCAGCCAGCCCGACAGGACCTACCGGCATGTGCTACCTGCGGACGTCCGCACCGCGGGGAGTGTCTTGCCGAGCAGGATATATGCTTCCATTGCCGCCGCCCAGGCCACCGTATCAGAGATTGCCCAGACCGCCCTCAGCCACAGCAGGACCAGAGACCACCAGCCCCGAGACAGCCAGCACCCAGACAACCAGCCCAGAGACCCCCAGGACAGCAGCAGCAGCGTGGAGCACCCGCTCATATTTACGCACTCGACCAGGAGCAGGCCGCAGAGCAGCCAGGTACCATGTCTGGCATGTTGTCCTTGTTCCATACTCCAATCTCTGCTTTATTCGATACCGGGGCGACACATTCGTTCGTCTTGACCAAGTGCTTATCTGCCTTAGGAGCCCAGGGAGTGAGTGCTGTCGACCCTCTCGAGATCAGTCTCGCCTCGGGAAGGAAGATAGTTACGAGTTCCCTGGCCAAGAACCTTAGCATCGATATCGGAGGTCGAACTCTAGTTGTAGACGCGTTTGTGATCGATATGAATGACTTCGACCTGATTCTTGGCATGGATTGGTTGGCGAGGTACCGTGCTGACATCTGCTACACTTATCTGAGGGAGACCACATCACGCTTTTCGGGACGAAGTCTAGAACCTTGCCGCGCGTTATTTCCATGGCGAAAGCGACGAAGTACATGCACTGAGAGGATTGTCAGGGATTTCTTGTCAATATCGTTGGGGAGTCTTCGGAGAAGCTGTCTCCTGGAGATATTCCCATTGTCCGAGAGTTTGTGGACGTTTTTCTCGATCAGGTGTCTCCTGGAGTTCACCATCGACTTGGTCCCCGGAGCGGGACCAGTGTCGAAAGCGCCGTATCGAATGGCGCCGAAAGAGCTTCAGGAGTTGAAGGATCAGATTCAGGAGCTTTTGAGTCTCGGTTTCATCCGACCAAGCGTATCACCTTGGGGAGCCCCTGTCCTCTTTGTCAAGAAGAAGGATGGGTCTATGAGGATGTGCATCGACTACCGGGATTTGAACCGGTTGACGGTGAAGAACAAGTATCCGCTTCCCAGAATTGAGGATTTATTCGATCAGCTGAGGGGAGCCAGCGTCTTTTCCAAGATCGATCTCCGCTCTGGCTACCATCAGCTGAAGATCAGAGAGGCCGATGTGGCCAAGACTGCTTTCAGAACCCGATATGGCCATTATGAGTTCGTTGTGATGCCGTTTGGCTTGAGCAATGCGCCAGCGGTATTCATGGATCTCATGAACCGTGTCTTCCATCCATTCCTGGACCAGTTTGTCATCATCTTCATTGATGACATTTTGGTCTATTCCAGCAGCCCGGAGCAGCACGAGGAGCACCTGAGGACAGTTTTGGAGACTCTTAGGCATGAGAAATTGTACGCCAAGTTCTCCAAATGCGAATTTTGGCTTGACCGAGTGGCTTTTCTAGGCCACATTGTCATCTCCAGAGGGATTAAGGTTGACCTGAGCAAGATTGAAGCCGTTAGGAACTGGTCGACGCCGAGAAATGCCACCGAGGTTCGGAGTTTTTTCGGTTTGGCAGGCTATTATAGACACTTCATTGAGGGGTTTTCGAAGATTGCCCTGCCCTTGTCTCGTCTGACGAGGAAATCGGTGAAATTTGAGTGGGATAGTCGTTGCGAGTCGAGCTTCCAGGAGCTCAAAGCGAGGCTTACGACGGCACCCGTGTTGACCATTCCGAACCCCACACAGGGTTTCACTATCTATAGTGATGCCTCGAAGTAGGGTCTAGGCTGTGTTTTGATGCAAGACAGCAGGGTTGTGGCTTATGCTTCCCGTCAGCTAAAGCCGCACGAGGTGAACTACCCGACTCACGATCTTGAGTTGGCAGCAGTGGTTCACGCCCTGAAGATCTGGAGGCACTATTTGTACGGGGGCCACTGCAAGATTTACACAGACCACAAGAGCTTACAGTATATCTTCACCCAGAAGGAGCTCAACATGCGCCAGCGGCGATGGTTGGAGCTGGTGAAAGATTATGACTGTACCATCAACTATCATCCGGGTAAAGCGAACGTAGTTGCTGATGCCCTCAGCCGGAAGGGAAAGGCCGAGCTGACCTGTATGATCACTCAGCAGCGTCAGTTGATTCATGAGTTCGCCCGGATGCAGCTAGAGGTGGTCGAATCACCTTCCAGGTTGCCAGTTGTGGGAGGTATTCGAGCGATGAGAATGTGGCCCACGTTGCGAGACAGGATCCGGCGGGATGAAGCCTTTGACTAGGTCATTCGCTCGATGGGGGCAAAGATTCATGCCGGAGGAGTTGAGGGTTTCTACCGAGGCACAGATGGTGCCTTGGAGTACAAGGGGAGGATCGTTGTGCCAAATGTCAAGGCTCTGAAGAAGGAGATCTTGACTGAGGCGCATAGTGCTCCTTACCTGGCGCACCCCAGTAGCCCCAAGATGTATCACGACTTGAAAAGGTCCTTCTGGTGGAAAGGGATGAAGAGAGATGTCGCCGAGTTTGTTGAGAAGTGTCTGATCTGCCAGCAAGTGAAGGCTGAGCACAAGGTTCCACCGGGTCTCTTACAGCCTTTAGAGATCCCGCAGTGGAAGTGGGAGAAGCTGACCATGGACTTTGTCACGGGTTTGCCGATGTCGGCCAAGCATCATGACGCAGTATGGGTAGTTGTGGATCGACTGACGAAGTCGGCCCATTTCATGCCCGTCACGATGGACATGTCCATGGAGCAGCTAGCCGATGTGTATCTCCAGGGAATCGTTCGACTCCACGGCATCCCAGCCGAGATTGTATCAGATAGAGATCCTCGGTTTACCGGACATTTTTGGGAGAGTCTGAACGAGTCCATGGGGACGAAGCTGAAGTTTAGCTCCGCCTATCATCCACAGACCGACGGTCAATCAGAACGGACCATCTAGACGCTTGAGGACATGCTCCGAGCTTGTGTCCTTGAGCATGGTGGTTCGTGGGAGCAGTTGATACCCACTGTGGAGTTTGCCTATAACAACAGTTACCACTCGTCGATCAAGATGGCGCCGTTCGAAGCTTTATACGGTCGCAAGTGCCGCTCGCCCCTTTATTGGGATGAGGTTGGCGAGAAGCAGGTTCTCGGTCCCAAGTTGATCGAGGACATAGTGCAGAAGGTCGCCGAGATTCGAGAGAGATTGAGAGAGGCTCAGAGCCGACAGAAGGCCTACGCTAACAAGCGTAGAAGGGAGCTTGAGTTCGAGCAGGGAGATAAGGTGTTCCTGAAGGTCACGTCGATGAAGGGCGTTGTCCGATTCGGGAAGAGGGGGAAGCTGCAGCCCCGATTTATAGGGCCCTTTGAGATTCTCGAACGAGTTGGTGTCACCGCCTATCGTCTGGCATTACCCCCAGAGCTCTCGGGTGTACACAACGTCTTCCATGTGTCGATGTTGAGGAAGTACGTGTACGACCCGAGCCATATAGTGAACTTTGACGGGCTAGAGGTCGGGCAGAACCTGACGTATGATGAGCGGCCGGTAGCAGTTCTGGACCGAAAGGTCCGTCGGCTGAGAAACAGAGATATAGAGCTCGTCAAAGTATGCTGGAGTCGCCACGACCAGTCGGAAGCCACTTGGGAGAGAGAGGCCGAGATCAGAGCTCGTTATCCAAATTTCGAGTTTTGAGATTTTCACTTGTACATATATGTACTTTCTATTTTTATGTTTTGATGTATATAGTTATGTAATAGGAGTTCTGGCTAGAACCTTAGTTTTGTATTTCCGAGGACGGAAATATTTTAAGGAGGATAGGTTGTAACGCCCCAAAACAATAATAAGAATAAGAACGGTTTCACTGCTCGACTATAAGTGAAATCCGTAAGTTCAGAAATTATCGAGTTATATCATTTATGCTAAATGCTCAACCATGATAAATTATTCTTTGAATAATTCTATCTCAAGTATAAGTTAAGATTAATCCATTAATTTGGGTTGGTAAATAATAGCAAGTCAATTCGAGAATTTATCGACTCCGAACCCTAGTTTGGTTCCGAGTAAACTTTCGGGTAAATCCCGAGCAAAGCCAAGTATTGGTATTTTTATACTTAGAATATTTTTCTAAGTGTATAATAACATCAAAGTATAAGTATTGATCATTTTAACCGAGCCCTAGTCCTTACCCGAGCCGCTCGTGCCGAGTCCCGCACCCGCGCCTCGAGGCTTAGCACCATCTAAGTACTCCTTAGATTTTTCTAAGTCTTTGGAGTTGTCCAAGCTCAGCCAAATCGCACTCCTAGTTGACCTAAGCCCCAAAAGCCGCGACTAGCCCTAGTTCGAGCCCTAACTCATTTTCTCCATTTCTAACCGAGGTAAGCTCGGGATTTTTGAGTTCATAAATTATTTAATGATATTTTAAGATTTTTCATGAAGAAAAATCGAGCCATGCATGTCATTATATGTGATTTACGAATTTTTGAAATAAATGACCTTAAAAATGAAAATTGAGTAGCAAGCATGCCTAAGTTGTAAACTGAAACCCATGAAGAGAATCTCGGACTTTGGTAATTAAATCACCAACTTTAAATCCACCTTGTGCCCTCCCCGCACAAGGGAAACAAATTAATGGGCGGCCACCTATCTATCAGCACATCTCCTGAATGTAAAAAGGCTTCTCATCTCCTCAACAGTTGGCATATCCCACTTATTTTCCTTCAATAGCACCATGAGACCGATTATTGTCTTCCAAGTATTTGGTGCTATTTGGCATAAACCGAGGCCCCAATCCTTCAAGTAATCGGTAATCAATGCAGGGAGTGGAAATCTTAATCCTAACCTCAGAAACTGTACGGCTACTGCTATCCTCAGCGTGAGAAGTCATCTTTCCGAAATCGATGGAGAAATAAAAACAAATTCGAAATCGACGAGCGCAAAAAATATAAAAATTAGGGCAAAACCTTACCAAGAATCTCAAAGCCCTAGATTGAAGAAGACGCAAAGAAATCACGCAAACCATCCGAAATGAAAATTGAAAGGGAAATTCGAAGGAGTTTGAGCACGAAAATGAAAACAAAGAGTTCGGAAATCAAAGGTAAAGAAACCCTTCACGATCGAAACCGACTCATATTTATAGTTTGTAATTTAACCATTGAACGATTGGGAAATGGCGCGTGTAAAAGACATGTCATTAAATGGCGTAACGTTACAGTAATTATTATTCCACGTGGGATAGTCATAAACCACCATGTCGCCCTATTTTTTCTGCCCATTACGCCCCTTAAATATAGATACATCTTTTAAGAATTGCCACGTCAGCCAAGCCGTTATACAATGTTCCTATGTCGGTTAATGGATATAAAGAAGTCGGCAAACAACCAAGTCGAAATTACAAAAGACATTAACAACATCAGCGGCCATTTTAGAAAAGCCCAAATACCCACTAATTAATGTCGGGGGCCTCTCTATTGATGACCGAATTGTCTTCGTGGAGTTAAGCTAGACTAATCACCTCGTTCCATCAATAGTCCCTCAGAAATATCTGCTTAGCTCAAGTCAGTATCAGTTGAATAAATTAATTACCGACTTCCAGATAGCTGAAAGCAGGACCGGTTATCTATCATAAGCCGAAGATCAACTTCTCCGACATCATGATTATGTACATTAAAAATTATCCATTCATCCGACATCCAAGGAGATCGAATTTTCAAGCAAGAGGTGTTGTACACATTCGATTGGACCATCAAAACAAGGAGCAATCATTGATGTTCCCTCATTTCATTACACACCGCTCTATTGAAGCTACTCAACGTTAAATACGATCTTATCTACCTCGTACAAAAAGACAAAAACAACAGTATTATAAATAGCAGAATTTATGATTGTACGGGGATATTTTTCCGCACATTGTACACGGACTTAGAATGATTTCGGTCAAGAACAAAAAAACCGACTTCCTATACTCTTGTGACACCATCAATAATATACAATTATCTTCTTATTTCCGTTTAAACACACCTCGCTGTTTATGATTTTAAGTCGTTAATTTCATACAACAACAAAACTAAATAATCCGGATATTATTTATATTTATAATACACACAGTTTAATTTTTTAAAATAATAATGATATTAGTAAAAATACAAATACACATTTTAATTAAATAATAACTCTTAGACAATTAGGCAATTAATTACAATTTGACACATAAATCATATTAGACATTTAAATAATTTTTGCATCCAACAAATAATAATAACAATAAGTAAATATAATTAATAATAATAATAATAAATAATTCTCAAAATTTCCATAGTCAAACGGGGCATTACACAATATATCTCCATAGTCTAATATGATGCCTCCCAAATGTCGAAAAATGTGCATATTATTATTATTATTATTATTATTATTATTATTATTGTATGTATTTCAATGCACTTGTTAAATTATTTTTCATGTTAATTAAAATCTTAAATTTAAATTATTCAAAAAAAATTAAATGTATTGATTTTTTTTTTTCAAACGACAGAAACTATATCTCATTCCATAAGAATAATAGGTACAAAGCGGCCAAAAACCGAGTCATACAAGCTGAGAGGACATATACGAACAAGTGATGCCTAAACCGACCAACCCACATTACCCAAAATAAAACAACAAAGCATACTACCTGAGGCAGTTCTAAGACCTAATGCCAAAAACAGAGAGGGATCACCAAAACAAAACATCACATACAGCCCCACAAACACAACTACAACCTGTTACACAGCTTACAGACTCAAAACACAGGGAAACAACAGAAATGAAAACAGCAAGTTAAGAAGACAAAACCCACTGACACTAGACCTAGGTAAATCTCATCAACTTCTGCTCAATTTTCCATTGCCTCCCCTTTAAAATCCAACCAGTCTCTAACTGCTGCTTTAAGGATCTCCCTCTCTGGTTGCCAAGTCTGCTAAAAAATCCAGAGATTGCGTGCCCTCCATAACCACCATAAAATGTATGTGGTCAATTGTATGCGATCTTCAGACACATCATCCACACTTATAGAGCTAAGCCACCACCACCAATTTTTGAAAGGGAAGTTCTCTTCTGGCATTTTACTCCAACTCACAGGTGCTAATCTCCAAATTAGTTTAGCTTTAGTACACTGAAACAGCATATGCTCCTGAGATTCAGTCCCTTCTCTACACAATGTGCAATCTGAGTTGATATCCAAGCCCCTCCTCTGCAAGTTCCCTTTAACAGGTAGGATGTTATTAAAACATCTCCATATAAAGTGCTTGACCTTAGGCAGAATTTTCAATTTCCAACACCTATTTCTAGCCCTA